CATTAGAGAGGTTGAGGCGCACGTTTTAAACGTGTAAACGTGTACGTGTGACGCTTTCCCGTAAGCCTAAAAGTTTGACGATGGTGTTTGGAATGTCGAGCGTGATTCCACCGACTATCCAAACACCATTGTCAAACTTTTAGGCTTACAGGAAAACGGCGCCGAACGTCACACGTACACGTTTACACGTTTAAAACGTGCGCCTCAACCTCTCTAACATTATCAGATACAAGATACTTGTCATAAACAGTGTGAGTTTGGCTAAATTGGTTTGTAATCTGGCAGTTCGCCAATTACTTACAAGTTAGAAACAATAAAGAGGCTACTAAGATGTACGTCCTTACTTACGTATTAGACATGTGAAGAAACCCGGGAAAAATACGCGGCCAGTCCATTCGTTAGGCACAAACCTACGACCAACTACCAGTGTTTAATGGTTTATTCACTCAGATACTGATTGCCTCCGATGCCGAAATATAGTGCTGAGAAACGTCATACTTCTTATTATGTATTACTAAAAGTACTAAAAGCACAGTAATTCTACATTGATAAAGAAGACGGGATGCCAAAGAAAAAATTATCATGTTGGGTTGCCAATAATCAATAGAAAGAGGTTAGAAAACACTGGTTTAATAGTATTGATCGAGAGCCAAAACAGCCAATAGAACCAATAGAACACGTGTTCTATTGAATTTACCACTTTAAATGTGGTAAACAAAGACATTTTGTAACCAACTTCTGTAGTTTGTGTTAGGAATGTTTATATGTTTCACGTCTCATCGTCTTATCCCGTAGGCACTGTGGAGTGTCCTCTGGTAAATTTTATCTTATTTTATTACATTACATTATTTTATTTATTATGTAGTATATATTTACTATATTCAGATCTATATAATTTCATAGAGGTTTATTACACTCGGCACTGACTATATTAAAACTTTATGTCATCCTTGAGATAGAATCGAGTTATGAACGTGAAAACGAAGATTCACAACTAAATAATTATAAATGAATTATTTAACTTAAAAATTATTGTAACTTTGTTTAATACTATAAGTAATTAAATACTTTAGGAGAAAAATCAAGATAATAAAAATTAATTGACCTAGCAAATTCTTTATTTTTAGTTGTGTATGGAGGAAAATACAAATAAATAAAAAAATGCTCACCTTATCCACAGTGAGATAATACAGATGATAACAGCCAATAATAATATTATGGACATATTAAATTCTTCAATAATTTATATAATCGATATCAATTTTCACTTTTTATTCGATCGAGATCGAATTAATAAACCTAAATGAATAAGGATGATACGTATTTTAATATTTAATGTACTGTACATTGCAAAGATAATTACTTTATAAAAAATGTTAAATACGTTTATTTAATAACTTATAAAAACATAAAATTATGAAATTATATTTTATATTAACATTATTGTTACATATTCTAAAATACTACAGTTTGTAATTGAATACTTACAAATAAATATTATAAATAATAAAATAATTATGAAGTTTATAAATGAAATTTTAGGTCTGAATTTCTATGCATTTTAAATTTTTAATCCGAACAATAAACAATTTACTAAATCGATTGTCTAAATCGATAAAGGGATTGTTCGTTTTATAAGTTTGCCTCAAATAGTGCCCCCAACCCAGTTGTCGCTCGCCCACGCGAAAGCCAAATTAATTGGAGGTACTATTTTTGGCTCAAAGCGACGAAAACCATAGGTTACATGACTATCGATGGCCAATGACGTACGGGTAGGATGCTCTATCTAATGTAGGTGTTGGCTTTACAACGTGATACACACGACGCACTTTATCTCCCCATCAAGTCGACTTTTAATCACCAAAATTTAATAGCATAAATCCCCTAATAAACAAACCTACATGCAAAATTGCAGAAATGTTTGACATAAAGCATAGGAATTATTAAGCATTAAACAAGGTGAATAGAATCGTGCCCCCCAAACACACACTAACATCCATATGTATAGAAATTACCCCCGAATTTTTTTTTGCATTTCTCGACGTTTTAAGGTGCCTAAGTCCAAAAATATAAAAATATTAGGAGTCATGTTTTGACCAATCTCCAATACTTTCACATTCTTATGTATAATAGCCGGGAAAGTAAAATTTGAAGATTATCAACGTTACTTTTTGTTTCTACACTTATCCTGTATGACAGTGGTTCCCAACCTTTTTTCATTAGCGTACCCCGTGACATGTCATATCTCTAGATTGTACCCCTCATTTAAGAAATTTAGTGAGTAACCGTATTGTTAATTTTACATATTGTAACTTTAAATTAAAGAAAAAAAACCTAAAAGAAAAAATGTATAATAAAGTTGTGATTGTTGCAAGAAACATTTTTTATCTAATAATTTTTTAATACTATTAGTTTGTGATACATAATATATTATTTTTTCTGCCATAATAACTAACTTTTTTCTGTACCCCTAAACAACCTATCGCGTACCCCTAGGGGTACGTGTACCACAGGTTGGGAATCGCTGNATAAGACAAGAAGCTTTGAACACACAATAAAAATTATAATTATCTAAATATTTTATATAATTACGTAAGGTTTTCTTAAATAATTAATTTTATTTATCTCCGTGATTTACATTTATCGCTTGTTTATTTGCAGCATTTAGACTTTAATTTATACTTTGAATTTTGGCTGCAAAAAATAATAATTGATAAATAATAATCTTATTTTTATTCGTAGATAACATTATATATAATATTCTTAATTATCAACATTAATTGAAAGTAGCAATGATGTAATAACTGACAATTAAGTTAGATGATTTATTTAAATTATTAAAAAATTCATTAATTATGCCTCTTAGAAATACAAAACAGTCCGAAACGGAGAGAAACAGTTAAAATAAATAATAAAAAACCGTCCTTAATCTATTTTATAGAAATTCACACACTACTTTATGTCAAAACAATCTGTTGTTTCTTAAACACAATCCTTATAAAAATCATATTAAAAATTCATTGTTTGCTGTTAGATTCATTGCTTACATTGTCGTTGTCTTCGGTATATTCAAAACGAATTTATGTATATAATATTTTAAATAAATTTAATACAAATAATTCCATCATATAAACGATTTAAGTGAAATATTCAAAATAAAAAATGTCACTCAATGAAATCTTTAATAAATTATTTCTATCGAGTTAAAAACATTTTGTTTTATGTGAATTCATTTGTTGAAAGTCCTTTTGAAAGAAGTACTCTATAACACATTTAATTGGACAATTCACGTGTAATAATAATTATGTTACTTTATGTGCGAACTTCTTTCGATTTTTTCTTTTTATTTCTCGTTGTTTGGAAATTTAACATGTCAAGTAACTTTGTTTAAATCTTCAAATGTGTATAATTATAATTTGTTTTTGTTTAGATTAGTCTTAATTTGGTTTGCCTCAGAAAACATACAATATCAGACACGAAATGACCAGTAAAATCTTGGATTTTTAATTAGTGCAACAAGTACTCAAAACTGTTTCGACTTATGGACAAACAAAATACATTGAATTTATGGGAATTACGTGGAAGCGAAAATATAATTCCACTTAAAGATTTGACTCATTAAGAGCCAATTATATGATGTTTTCACTGCCATTGCTTACACTGCTTTGGTGTTTTCATATTAGACTGAAATATTTAAGGAAACATTCGTTAATATAATTATTGACACAAAAGAATTAATACCTGTCTGTGAACAATTCGAAATCTGTTCATGAGCAAATCGTTTAGAATGAGAAACAATCACAGAAGAGGAAGGCCAAGAATGTTGTAATAGTAATTACGCGACGAAGAAAATTGCCTTCGTGATAAAATAGTAATATAAGTTATATTTTATAAATTGGTACTATACTGTGCATAACTAAAACAGAACGTTATATAAAAAGAGTCTGTGTGAATAAAGCATATTGCTAATCATCAAAATTTATAGACTCGTATATTTTAGCTTAATTCGATTATTTTGATTAGATGTTTTTATATCAAGCAAGAAAATCTTTTAAAAAACAAAATTAGAAATTCAGCAACGAGTTTCACAACTTCCTAGGCAAAAAAAAATAAATAAAATTGTGGTAGCGCAATCTGTTATATTTTATTGAAAAACTCTTCATATCATTATTATAATATGGCAAGAAGCTTAATTTTTAAGGTAGTCATATAAATTTTATAAAAAAATTATAAGTGCTAATAACGAGTAAAATTTTCATTAAGTCCGACCCCACTCGAGATATGATAAGTGACCCCCTCCATCTCAACACTCCGTCGATCTTTATACGGCAAAATTTAATAGAATCAATCCTTCTAATATACATACCTCCCTGCACAGTTTCATAAATTTTCGACAAAAAGTTCAGGAGATTTTAAACTTCAAATTGGGTGAACAAAATCGTGTCCCACATATAAACATCCATACACGTTTCAATATCTCCAGTAAAAAAATATAAAAATCTCGAAAAGTCATTTTTTTACCGATTGCCATACTCTCCCTCTCTTATATCGAACAGCCGGAGACGTAATATTCAAAAATTAGCTAAATATATTATTTAGCTAATTATAAGAATATTATAAGAATATTGTATTCTACACTTAAATCCAAAATTCAAATACATCTAATATTATACGTAACAATCTTTGATCGATTTATTTTCGTTTTCTGCTGTGTCTCTCACGATAATAGTAAAAATTACAGTATTATAATAAATATTTACCTTTAGTCTGTGTAAATTGAGAGATGTTCGATTCATAACATAAACGAAAAATAATCTGAAACGCAATAATAAAGGCTTCTGATAAACATTTGCCTGCGATTGTAATAATTCCAGTAAACAGATATATACAAGGCCATTCGAAAAGATTTGGCATTATAATATAAACATATATTATTATAATTATCTTTATTTAAACGATAATTAAGAATAAAGAATAAAAATAATAATCATTTGATTGATTATTATTCAGATATATTATCTTCTGATTAACAAGAATTAATAAGATTGAATACACTCAATTAAAATAGAAGAACTTATTTTAATTTACGTCATACACTTGAGGAAAATAAATTAATAAAACACAAGCTTTGTCTATCTGTCTTTTATATTACCTCGTAAATTAAAAGAAAAAGTCTTATTCTAATTCAGTTTGCGAGTCGCCTGATATGGTTCATGCAAAGTGATATGAGGAGTGGATGGTAAACATGTGTAATTACTGTATTAACTAAAAGATAGTGCCATGTATTGATATATTGTGTTAGTTGATAGCCATGCTTATTATGTGTTCTGTTTAAAAGCACAATTGCTGTAAAAGTAAGTGAAAAAAATGAAATGTTTCTATTTCTGACAAGCAGAATGTTTTATCCATGCTGTAGCCTTGAAAATCTTAAGATTAGCCATTGACTCATTTCTTATATACAGGGTGTATCAAGTACAGCGGTTACAAACTTTCAGGAGAGATAGAGTACACGTAGACGATGGGAAATCACTTAGCAATGCACGGTCGGAAATGCTTTCCTGGAACTTGTTGCACGCATCGTGGCAGATCTTCAATGCGCCGGAGATGTGAGGCCCATAGTCGTAATTCTGGGCATCATAGCCCAGAGTCGTAATTTCGAACACTTTGTTTGATTTTTACTGTACTAAGAATAATAAAATGTTGTCAAACAATCAATACCCTGTTTTATTATAGTTGTTAAATATTATATTATTACATTTAAATTTAATCTGTAAAAGTTCGTCCGATGGAGAATTATTTTTAATAAAATAAAAGACAAAACTGTCCAAAAAGGATCACCATTTATTACTTGTGTTCCAAGACTAAAACATTTTCGGCGACTGACCTTCCATTTTAGGCTACTTGTCGCCGTAAAGTTCACAAAAAGTCCTTTTAAAAACACNTCAAGAAATATCGCCGAGAGAAGCAGCTACAGCTAATTCGAAAGAGAGCAAGGCTATACACGCTGTCATTGCAATAAGAAGTGTTCCACGAATAAATGCAGTTGTAAAAGCAAGGGACTCTTGTGAAATTCAAAGTTCCATAAAAGTTTAAGTTGTTGCAATAAATAAGATTGCATAACGTTAATCACATAATTTATGTATAAGTTTATTATTGTATTATTTCTTTAACGATTTAGAATGTACTATTCGTTTTAGGTTCAACAGTTTATTTACATGTACTATTACTTAAGCTTTCTCTTATTTTGACATATTAAAAAGTTGCATTTTTGTCTTAACGCAATAAAGATATTTTTATTCAACATTCACCATCAGTGCATGCTGGAACGTCTACATTTGCCCGTATAAGTGAGAAATAATGAAATTTAGCAAATATTTCGTATATACACGAAACGACTGTGTGAACGTTGACATTCACCGGAGAATGTTGACATTCGCCAGATATCGGTCATTCACAGTAACATTACAATAAATAGCCTATAGTACAACAGGGAAGCGAATATATATATATTCGCTTCCCTGTTGTACTATAGGCTATTTATTGTAATGTTACTGTGAATGACCGATATCTGGCGAATGTCAACATTCTCCGGTGAATGTCAACGTTCACACAGTCGTTTCGTGTATATACGAAATATTTGCTAAATTTCATTATTTCTCACTTATACGGGCAAATGTAGACGTTCCAGCATGCACTGATGGTGAATGTTGAATAAAAATATCTTTATTGCGTTAAGACAAAAATGCAACTTTTTAATATGTCAAAATAAGAGAAAGCTTAAGTAATAGTACATGTAAATAAACTGTTGAACCTAAAACGAATAGTACATTCTAAATCGTTAAAGAAATAATACAATAATAAACTTATACATAAATTATGTGATTAACGTTATGCAATCTTATTTATTGCAACAACTTAAACTTTTATGGAACTTTGAATTTCACAAGAGTCCCTTGCTTTTACAACTGCATTTATTCGTGGAACACTTCTTATTGCAATGACAGCGTGTATAGCCTTGCTCTCTTTCGAATTAGCTGTAGCTGCTTCTCTCGGCGATATTTCTTGAGAAGAAATCTCATCTATGGAAAATTTTCTTTACAAATTACGAACTGATTACGGGTATAAAGCTACTTCAGGGTATCATTTTTGTTTGCTAATTTATAAAAGTCGGAGTCTTTTATTCCAACAACAACTGCCAACACATTTCGGGTATATGTACGGCCACGATCGACATTAGAAACTTGTATTCGTACGGTATCACCAATTTGAGCAGAAGAAAACTGCGAAGAATTTGGCAACAGACTGTCGCCACTCTGTCAACAACAGCTTTTCGGGTGTCGTTTCGACCTCCAATATATCTTATCTGTGCTCGTCGATATACACCGGCGATTGTTCGAATGTATAATAATATCACTAAATATTCGGTCTTTCATCGACGTATTTTGTATGTGTCGACATTCTCTAATTTCGGTCTTTCACAGTAACATATATAGCCTATATATATTGTACTGCAGGCTATTTCTTGAGTTAATGAAACTAAAGTAAACCCCGCTAAATCGGACTAATAAGAGGTGAAGATTGTTCGAGTTTACGGAAGACCGAGTTATCAGCGTTTTATTTGTATATGTTTTTGCTCCGATTACAAGTTTAAGTGAACAAATTCGGAAAGTACCCATCGTATTAATTAAACAAATTTCAACATTAAAAATTGAAATATTGTAACACACAATTTTAATGTATTTTTGTCACATTTCATTAATTTAAACATTCAACTTTTTTAACATATTTTTGCATGCAATTTTAACACATTAATTTCAATTTTACATGTTTCACGTGTTAAAAATACCAAAACTTACGCCAAAAATTTACATATTTTTTTAAAATAATGATTCTCGAATAAATTGAATGATTCTGTAATCTAAATCAATTATGCATAATATATTCTGATTTCTGAAGACTATAATCTAACTTACACAATATCATTTTTTCTAATTTTTAAGCAATCAGAAGTAAAATATTGTATGAAATTTATTAAAAATTTCACGAAGATAGTGCAGTTGCCTTTACTACAACTCCATTTTTTGGTCGGGTTGTAAAAAGCGAAAAGTCTTCTTCAGCTTCCTATAACAAATTATTAATTTATATAATTAAAAAATAACACTTCTCTCGTGTATTAAATTAAATACATTATTTAAACAGAAATCTTTTCAAAGTAAGGTCCTATTTACCAAATTTCCACAAAGTTCTAAGTTGTAGCTCTTTATGAGATTAGCCAAAGTTAATTTCATAATTGTTTGAGCCAGTCTCATTCCTATGCAACTTCTTGGACCAAATCCGAAAGGTTGATATATCGTTTGATCTATTTGTCCTGCCGTTTTAGATGAAAATCTGAAAATATTCAATTCCAATAATAAATATTACACTCATAAAAATGAATTCGTTCAAATTATTTGTCAAAATGTCATTATGTCAAACCTGTCAGGGTTGAAATCTCCCGAATCTTTCCAATATTTGCAGTCTTTATGCAAGTTCGGTACTGGGATCATAACTGTAACTCCTTTTGGAATAGTTATATTCTTATAATGAAAATCTTCCGAACATATTCTATTGATTGTACTATTTATAAATAAATTTTTAATTAGTTAAAATGACTTCAAAGATATTTTGTTTAGAAATAAAATACACTTTTAGGCAGAGGCAGATAATAATTACATTGGCGAAAGAGAACGAAGACGTAACGTTTCTGATATTATTTGATCCAAATACTTCAATTTTGATAAATCTGCATATTCGATTTGTTTCTGAAAATATGTATATATTTAATAATATTAATCTAATGATTTAAGTTTAAGTTTCTTGATATCAGTTTACGGATTTTTTATGACAAGAGTTTTATTTAGACTTTAATGTTATGCTGAGAAATCATAGAAAGAAATGCGAAGTTATGCAATATTACAATTCAGATAACAACATTAACAATAGAGTAACAACTTTCATTCAACTGCCCGAATATCATCAATAATAACTACAGATATAATTTCGTAAGTAACGCTCTTGAAGAAACGAACATTTGAATGTTCTATATAAAGGAAATTTACTGTACATAAGGAGAACAACAAGAAATTTTCAATTAGGGCTTACACGTATAAAGTGCATTTATTTATAACTTTTTGTGAATCTGCTATGGAAATAATCATGAAAAAGCTATGGAAATAAATCATGTAAAATATTAGTATTTAGTTTTGGTATATTATGTCATAATAAATGTCATTAATCTTTATAGATATGAATACTTATAACTATATTAAACACATGTAAAATGAATGTTAATTCAAACATATAAGTTTTAATTACATTGCTTTCTATGTTTTCGTTGATTTCCTGACGAACTCTTTCCTGTTCTTCAGGATATTTAACCAAATTATGAGTACACCAAGCTAACATAGTACCCGTAGTATCATTACTAAATAAAAACAAAAAATAAACTCAATGTACATTTTAGCATTAAATAATTCATATAACTGGTATTAAAAACTATTAATAAACAGTTCATAATTACCCAGCTAGCATATACATAACAGCATTCGCGACAATACTGTCTGTTGCAAGCTTCTTTATAACACCATCTGTTTCACCTTCGGCATCAATCATGATTTGCAAGAGATCTGGTGGATGATACTAAAAACAAAACAATTTTAGCTATCAACCTTTGCTTTATTATTCTCAGGTTTTTTTTATCTTGCACATTCATATAAACTGTAAATTTTAAAACTTACACCAGATGTTTTTCTTGAAAAAATTATTTGTCGGCACGTATCAAATACCAACTTACAACATGGGTAATTAATTAAATATTTTATTTTATCTAAAATCATTCTCATGTATGTAGGAATTGGCTCCATTTCGGGAAAACAAACTAAAAAATTTGTTTTGATTATTTATGGGAATATTATTGGAAAATTTAAGTTTTACTTACTTGATAGTGAAGTCAATAAATCGGTCGAATCAACAGTCAGTATGCCATGGATAGATTGAACAATTTTACTTGTCTCTTCGTTCTGCACATTTGTCTGAATTCCAAAGGCTGTTCTACAAATTAAATCAAAGGTTAACTTTTTATAAAATTCAGCAATATCAAATGGTGATTTTTTCTGTTTGTCGATTTTCTCCAAAAATACATTTATTGGCTCAAACATAAGAGTGCTCATCTGAAAATATACAAAGTAACGATATATTTCTGAAAAAAACAAATGATAACTTTATACTTATAATGATACATATTCATAATCAAAATGAATTTTACTATAAGTATTCTACATTACTAGAATTTTATAAAATACACTTATTGACAAAAATGTTAGGCACTCAGATAGAAAATGACCGGTTATTGCAAAAAATGGTTGTCTCAGAGCAACCATACCCTAAATTTATTTAGAGGTAACTAAACAATTACAGTTGTGGTTCGATTGCTCGCTAAGTAATGCTTACCAGATTCCCTTATAATCGCTATTTCGATATTCTATAAAAAGGTTCGTAAAGGCTCATTGTCATTAGAATTTTTAGTGTACCTGCTGTTTGCAGTTTCTCATGACTTTATACGCAATCGAACACATTAGGCACAAATAACGGAGTTTGAGAAAGGCCGAGCTGAAAAAGCAGAATGGCCATTTTGTCAGATTGCTCGCTGTAAGATGTGTAGCTGTAGGATCTGTGAAGCGATACGTTATGGCACACATACACGATGGCAAAATTATAGATTCTTTAGATCTACGACTATGGGGGATAAAGTTGGCGGCATAATTATGGGGTGACAAATATTCGGATGTGCCTTGGGAGCGGCAAAATGAACCATTAGAATTAAAAGCCCATAGACTTGTTTTGTGATAAACGTTGAATGAGGATTGCCAGGTGTGAGGTTTTTCTCGGGCTCCAAAACTGTTTGGTACGATTCTGGATTGTGAAAAAAGACAAAACAGGTGCAAAAGCCTCTTGGGCGAAGAGAATTTTTTTTTTGATATCTGTATGTTTAATCAATGTCAGTATGCCATGGATAGATTGAACAATTTTACTACATTGATACCATACAAGTAGAAAAAAAATCAAGAAGTTATGATCTCTTCATTAGGTAGTATGATATGATTTGAAGTGAAACGTAAGTTACTCTGTGGGGATGTTGTGATTCTATAAAAGAATGTATTTCATAGTCGAAAGTATCGCAACAAAAGAATCGATTCCATCTTGAAAAGAAAACAATCGATTGTTGATCGATTATTAAATGCTTTGCTTCTGCGAAAATAAATCATTTAAAACTTTCACTGATGATAAATTAATAATTACAAAAGATAAAATTTCGATCAAAAAGAAAAACAATGCTTTTACAATTTAAAAAAAAATATATAGAAGAAACTAAGTCGCCTTCAAATCCATCACGTTCAGTGAACATACTAACTGATTTACATATTTTGCAGAGGCATAACCTCTAACAAAAGATCGTCTCCGCAAAGGAAAAAATATGCTTTGTTCTTTGTCTTTCAACTTGACGGATTTTAAAACGAGTTGGTTTTTAAAACAAACTTTTGATTTTTATTTTCACCAAGAGCTACTTCTTTGAGAAAGTATACTTCGAAAAATCGAAAGGGCTATCTCCTTTCAGTCTTATATCTTCATCTGATTAACATATTGTTGGTCTATTCTAAGAAATATTCGGTAAAAAGTAAATCGACTCCCGGAAAGAATCGACACCAAAATACCGGACATCGAAAAGGAAAGAATCGAATCGGTGGAACTATCACAACGATATTACTGTAGCTGTGCCTGTTTATCAGATATACTACAGTAAATGTTGTGACAAAACTCTTTTGTCATCTGATTGAAGAACTGCTAAAGTTAAATACCAATAGGTTGCTAACATATTGTGGTATGATAAACTACTCTTTACGGATCGCATACAAGTTTCAGGGGCTGAATAATGCGAAAGACCGGTAGTGAAAAGATTCGTACAGATATTGAAAAAGTGTGATAAAAAACTCCAATATGAGTTAACAAAAGATTGTTTTCTTATAATAAATAAGAAATCTTGATACGAAGTCATAAAAATATTAATAGCATAAAGAAATAAACGGAGTTTTCAAAAAAGCAGTATTCGAACTCAATGTTTGTTTGACGATTGTTATAAATGCCCTAAAAATACTAGTGGAAGAACGAGATTTTCACAGACCAAAAAGAGAGTCATAAGATGTACTGTATATTCATCAAAAGAGGAATCGCAATACTACGAAGGAATGCGCGTAGCCACATGCACGTTGCAGGACCGGTAGAGGTCAGAGACATCTGCAAATGATTAAAAGAACAAAGCTATGTAGTGAAAGACACCTGTTTATTCAGTAACAGATATGGCAGTAACAGATATATATATAGACTGCACGGCAAGGCATAATATCAATGAGACGAAGGAACAAAATACAGTAGTCATAAATATAAAAAGTTTTATTTTGTATCATGATATTTTAATTATGGAATTAATGAGCATGTGAATATTCACTATGTATAAAATATTAATGCCACACTATGTGATGTATACGCACAAAAAATGAAATATCACGTTTAAAAATTAACTCGTAGAACCAAGATGTTAAGTGTATGATGGCTGTCGACAGCTAATAGTCTAGTAATATGAAATATTTATTACTGATATTTTAGCTATGTACAAATGCACTGCTACATGTCCTACCATTAGCATACTAAAATGGTCTTTTTCGTTTGCTTGGTGATATAATGCACGGGCTGTTTCAGACTGGCAGCGTATTGTTTTTAGTGAAGAATCCTGTTTCTGTTTGGGAACTAATAACTAGTTCGGAGAAATCAGTCTAGTAATATGAGATATTTATTAACAACAGATTGTTTTCTTGTGCATCAATCCATTATCCTCTGTTGGCTTGCTGGTCTGCCGAACCATCGCATCACTACTAGTTCAAACTAAACCTAACAGTAGTGAGAGTACGTTCAGGAAATCCTGTGCCCTCGTATGTTTGCTTTGCAGGCAAGACTACAGACAGTATTGTTCCAGAAAGATAACGCTTGGCCAAAAACAGCTAGTTTCTGAGAAATATCTCGGTAATGCATACTTCCTTGGTTTTCAGGTCTTCAGATCTGTTATACATTTAGCTTTTGTGAGATCAAATGTAATGCCAACTTTGGCTATCTGGTAGTGCGAAAAGTTTGGACCGAAAATAGCAATATCTATGGAAATATCGATTGTAGGATACGATACGATGTCTGTATACTTCCATTCCTATTTTCGATGATATCTCTGCATTGATCTAGTACGTAACATTTTCGTCAATAAAAAAAGTCTTTATACCATCTTCAGTTTAGCGGTACTGAAACTTGTGCTCAATATATTTCTGCTAATTCTCCAATCTTCATCCTTTTGAAGCGGAAGTGAGTTAAGCACGTTATTATTAGGAATTCCTGCATCTGGAAGTAACAACTGAAATAATACACAACAAAATATCAATATGATAAATAAGTCTTCGCATTAATAATCGTAAGAAATTACATCTCTATTCATAAAACTTTTAAAGTCCTTTATTTGTATAAGTTTTATTAATTCCAAATCACGACAGACAACGCAAGGTTTGCCTCCGAGGAAAAAACTGAAAGTAATAAAATAAGATTTATATTTTATTATTATTTAGATTAATTAATTAATTAATTAATTAATTAATTTCATTACACATTTAGAGTTACTAGAAAGTACAGGATTATGATATCAAAATATATATTTCTGACAAAAATATTTGACGCACCTCGAAGAAAATATCCTAACGTCGTAAAACTTTGCAAGTTCAATGATAATGAAGTGATTATGATTTTATAATAAAAGGCGTCAGAACAATCGAACAAAAACTTCTAATAAAATAATAACGATTAGGATCGTCCGGTCTTGTTCGTCAACGTCATAGCCAACGAAAGGTCGACGATGGGCCGACAAATGATACAATGACGTTTAGCTAATCAAACTTTTCCACAGAAGAACACGGTCAGCTTGAAGAAATCAACTAATCGTTGAAGTTGTATATAAGAAGGTGTCAAGTTAGAACTAAAGAGGAACGTTCTTTTATGTTTACGTAGTTTGGTATATGGGACAAAAAGAAAAGTAAAGAATTTTAACAAAATATCAAAATATCAAAATAACAAAGTAATAAATTTTAATGAACTATTAGTTAATATATTTTAATAAATGAAATGCTAATAAAGAGGAAATAAATTATATGTGACAGGTTATTTCATTGATCAAGATTTATGCAATTCGAGTACTAAACTATATATAGTGTATGTATAACTAATCATCTGATTTTAAAGGCGTATTCATATTAGGACCAACTTGGGCTAAGTCGACGCCTTTAGGAAGTCAGCCTACCTCTTTGGAAACCTAATAATGAATCCAGGGGTAGTAAAATGGGCGCATTGCCATTTTTATTTTAACAAATGAAATACAGTATATAGGACAGAATGTCTTTATTATTGAAAAGCAATCAAAAATATTTGTTTTTGTTAGAAAAAATAACATTAATTTATATGGATAAGAACCGCTACGGGCCTCAAGTTTTCTCGAGACCTGGAAAAAATTGCCGGCCTTTCCTTTTCGTCGGAAGTGGTTGTCTGTCCCTGATATGTCCGGACTTCGTTCCACACAACCAGTCCTCCTCAATGTGGGCCTGGAGGAACTCATGATAGACATGACTAAAAAGACTCTAGTTTCCACAAGATTAAATTGGCAAGAGAATAAATAACTTAATAAATAGTAAAGACACTGGCTATGACGCATAGAGTCAAACAACAATCGGATATTACCTGAGAGAAATTCTTATAAGAGTTTTGTAATTATTGGCTAGTTCGCTGCTTTCTATGATTGATATTTGATTGGCAAGCCATCTAGATATCTGACTGGTCAGGACGATAACAACCGCGATCACATAAATACACCGAGAAAAATTTCGAGTGAAGCTGGGTATTATCCTCTTCGTTAATGATCCGGAAAACAGGATGGCAAAAACTGGTCGAAGGCTGTCTTCAACTTAGCAATGTACTTTTTGTTAAGACGTCATGTATTGTATTTTCTAATATCTATAAGTCCATAAATTTCTACAGGTGTCAGACATGTTTTTCTGCCAATAAAATCGTTAAGTATTTTAATCATATTATAAGTCTGATTATGATTATGATCTCATCATGATTATGTGTTAGTTCACAAATAAAGTGTGATTGAAGGGATCGCAGTTTTCTTCCAGCAAAAAAATATGTTTTTTTTATTGCTTTTTGCCCTTAATTTCATTAAATGTTTCTAAAATCCTAACTAGTTATTTATATTTTAGGGCTTATCACACCAGTACACGAGACTGGTGTAATAAGCCCTAAAATATAAATGTCTAGTTATGTTATTAAAAAACATTTTTAAAAATATGGTAGTCGTTCCCTACAAGAAACAGAATGCCGGTCACCATAACACTATATACCACACTGTCAGTGTACGGTAATTTAGGGTAGACATCTAATGGAAGTTAAGGAATGAAGTTTTATCCCTGACAGTCACTTTAAAATAGCGTGACATAATACAAAAGTTATCGAGTAGTTGTGTGCGCTGTAATACACCAAAGCATTTATTATTCAACATTTCATACATTTAAAATTTAGTAAAAAATCTGAAAAAAATTATTACGTTGAGAACTGTTTACCCGGAGGACATGAACCCTACACTTTTTACTGTTCAAATACTTTTCAACAAAAAGAAAAGGAAAAAAATGCAGGCATCAGAGAGATGCTAGGGCGAGTGTCTGTTTATGTTTAATAACCATTGTAGAAAAATTACGTTGGCGTGACGCTTGCTACAGTCACTTTGAATGAACGCGATTCGACACAATAGCAATTTAAAATAAATTTATCTTTACAAAAGTGCCATTCTTTATATTCTCTGCTATTTATCTATCGATGCACAACAAAAATCGGTTCCAATTAATTTTAAATGGAGTGCTGCGTCGCGTGTGTCAACGCGACATTTTTACGCATTTCCTTCATATAAACATTACTGTTGATAATAGAAATTGTTCAGATTGTAAAATTTTTGTTATTACGTAACCCTGTTATTCAAGCATTGTGACAAATGCATTTACAGGTAACTCTCGGTTACCTGTAGGCCTAAATGCATTTTGGGTGAGGGTTGGGGATTAGAAATCTCACGAATATCAAATAGGAAAGCATGTGAGGAAATTGAACTAGGTTCCTGTAGGTTGAATCAATGTAGTTGAGATAAAGCATGTTGCTGGAATATTTAAACTTTTTCAGATGATTCATTAAGCAAATAATGACGTCTCTTGTTTATTTTATTCATATATATGTTTAATTATATTTAAAATATTACTCTTACATTTTAAGACAATGGCGGAGGAATTAAAACTGTTTGAAAAAACTGAGTTAATGTCGCTTGATGGATTCTTTATTCGAGTCTTTCGAGACTACAGAGTACAGGAGCCAAGCTGTTTCACCAAAGATCTCTGAAACTTGAGATTGCGTTCTGAAAACGGATCTGATTCTTGTTGAAGTTATCAATAGAGTTATATATTTTTGACAGCTTGTAAGCTGTAATTGGAAGCTTTAGCGTTTTATCTTGTTTACCATCAGTCAAATTAAAATTATACTATCTTCGGAGTCGGTTAATTTAAAACTTGTATATATATTAAAACAAAAACGTATGTACAGTTACAATTAAAGTTCACATATAAGAATTACAAACATTAGATATTAACAAAGTTCAAAGTAATCATCCACTGCTACAGGTCCGTCGGAAAAGCACCTTGCGACGTACGAATTCAAAGTCTACAACAACACAACAAGATGAGACGATCTTCTAAGACAGCTCCGGCGACTAAGGTCAACGTGAGTTCATTCTACGAGTCCAAAGCGAACTAAACTTCCCGCCAGAACTTCACTGCTTTTATAGGATTGAAGCTACATTGAACTCCACCAATCAGCATCTACCAGCTGTATAAGACGTCCGCCGATCGTCCGATGTTTCTTAACCAATCAGCGGTCGAGTTTTCAAAATGTTCTGATCGCCGTTTCCATGGCGATAACGGTCGTTCACGAAAAAGGCGGGAAAACCGCGCGCTAGACGATTTTTATTCCCGACACCTCCACGGCCGAGGATCAAACTGAGCTTACTTAAGCCTGTTTGATTCCCTTCACAACACCAAACAATCTTACAAAAATCGTCCGATGTCGGACTGACCCATACATCCGGAACATCCGGGAATTTTACCCGTCTACGCGCAGAGATGCCTTTATAACCGATGCCTAATAACCGCTTTCGTGAAACTAGCGAAATCCGGTATGGGGTAAACCGTTTCGAGATCCACCCTCCAGTAAGCGTCCAGATGGTTTTCTTCTTTGGTCTACTACCGAACATCGAGTTGTAATCCAACGGCCCGTCATCCAGCTCGGTCTGTGCTGACGTCGGGGAAAGCGGAGGAATTCCCCTTCCTCTCCCGTCCCCTCGTCCACGATCGTGCAACTGTCGCGGGGACGGAGTTTGGTCCAGTTCACCGAATTTCCCGTCGGAAGAAAATATCATTCCTACATCGAAAGTTCGCTTCCGATATTCCCTGAGACTATCTATTTGGTCCCAGCTAATTCTCCCGTCTTTGAACCTTATATGGTAGCTTCCTTCGCGTCCCCACTTTCCTACCATATCAGGCCATTCCCACCGGACATCCAACTTGTCATTCGGGGAAGCCTTTTCCACGAGATCCGTATCCCTGATGTTATATCCCTTTTGCCGTGCTTCCAACTTGTAAGGCACTGCATACTCTTTTCGTTTCACGGCCGCGTGTTTACTTGCAATATCGGGAATCGCTTTGATCGGATCTATCTCTACATTCCCTACTTCTAACATACGGGTCATTCCACGCGTCAATCCTGCAGTGAAATTGGTCCCCTGATCGTAACAAATCGGTTCGGGAAAACCCGTCCGTGTAAAGAATTGCAAAAACACCGAACCAGTGACCAGCGATCTCGTCCCTTCTACTCCTGACAAGCGGGTGCATAAACTGATTACGCAAACCGCGTATCGATGACCGTTAGATGACGAGGGATCAAACGGTACAATCATGCTTACGTTAACCACTCGAAACGGGGTTGAGAACCGAGTAAGTGGTATAACTGGGGTCCTATCTAGGACTAGATCAGGCGCTCTTACTTGGCACCTACGACTATTCTGGCAGTACTTCCGGATATCGGTCGCCATTTCCGGCCAATAGAAGCCCTCGCGCATGCGACTTGCCGATTTCCGACTGCCTAATTGTTCACCGCACGGAGCTTTGTGTACTAAATCTAGCATTTCCGCTCTCCGATCTTGGGGAACAACTATCTGCTTAATGGGCCTGCCGAACCAACTATCTTGCCGACATAGTATTCTGTTCTCTACAGTTAACCCATCTTTCTTACACTTAGCGGCCTCCCACAATCGAGAAAGTGACTCGTTCCGGACTTGAGCGTCTCCTAATTCCGTTCCTTTCTCCTTTTCGGTGCTATTTTCACTGCACCCCGCCTCAAAGAGAGGTTCCAGTTCCTTTCCCTGACGGTTTCCATTCCCATCTAC